GGTAAGACGATATGTGCCAACAATAGAGGAATAAGTCCCCTTCCCATCGCATATAAAAAGCTTTCCAATGTGCTGTGTGAACTACTGAATTCAATGGTCAATGAAATTATTTGACCATACCAATGCGGATTCAGACCTGATAAATCCACCATTGACCAGATTTTCACTCTGAGCCAAGTCCTGGAAAAGACACATGAAACACACATCGACACATACCACCTATTCGTCGACTATAAAGCCGTAAATCCACCATTGACCAGATTTCCACTCTGCGCCAAATCCTGGAAAAGACCCACGAAAAACACATCGACACATACCACCTATTCGTCGACTATTAAGCCGCATTCGACAACCCTATCCGTTCAGAGGTGTCTACGTTCGGCATTTCTGCAAAATTAATACGGATATGCAAGATAACTTTAAGTGGCACAAGGTCAACAGTTAAAGTCGGAAAGGAGGTATAGGAGCCCTTCAATACCGAACGAGGATTCAGACAAGGTGACAGTGTGTCGTGTGCTTTTTTTTAAATCCTGCTGGAAAAGGTCATACGAGATGCAAAGGTGAACAGAAATGACACTCTGTACACCAAACAACACATGCTACTCGCCTACGCCGATGAAATCGATATAATGGGTCGAACATTGCGAGTGGTAACAGCCACCTTTGAACAAATTGAAAAAGAGTTTGCCAAAGTGGTTCTGACAGTAAACGGCGAGAAGACCAAGCTGATAGTATCAACGCGCAAGACGTCCAGTAGACTCGGACCAACTGAGGAACTTGAGAACTACAGCTTCGAGGTAGTTAAAGATTTTATATACCTTGGTACCGCCATAAATAAAACGAATGACATCAGTTTTGAAATTCGGATAAGGATTGTGATGGCCAAAAGAAGCTACTATGGTCTAAGTATGCAGTTTAGAAACAAGGCCACCACCCGCCAGATCAAACTAACACTTTACAAGACGCTGATACTACCCGTGCTGTTATATGGGTAGGCTGAAGCATGGGTACTTGCGCAAACAGATGAGGTAGCTCTTGGAGTGTTTGAGAGAAAAATTCTCCGAAAGATCTACGGGCCGATCTGCGTCAACGGTGAATATTGGCTTCAAATGAACCTCGAGCTTTACAATTTATACGTGGACATCGATATAGTCAGTCGTATTGAGCTGCAGCGACTACGATGGCTAGGCCATGTTGTGCGAATGAATGAGAATGCCCCAGCTCAAAAAGCATTTAAAAGCGAGCCTACTGATGGTTCCCGTAGAAGGGGAAGGCCACGAATCAGATGGAAAGTAGAAAACAACATCTCGGAACATGGTCTTTCTAATTGGCGGAAATGCGCACAAGACCGATGTGCTTGGATGTCTTTTTTAAGCTCGGTTTATGGAACAACCGTTCTGTAACGAGCCAGCTAAGAAGAATAATTCGATTAAATGTTCTTTCTACAAATAGCTTTATAATCGATATATTTTTTCATAAATAGCTTCATTATCGATAACATTTTCTATAAATAGCTTTGTTATCGATAAAATTTCCTATAAATAGCTTCATTATCGACAAAAAAGTTATCGAAAAAATTTATAAATTATTGCGAACGAATTTGTTATCGCCTCAGCAACATTTCTTTAATAAAATTATTAATTATTATCGATATAATTATATCAACAAAACGAAAAATATATATAAACAAAACAATAAATATTCCTTTATGAGTTGCCATATTTTTTGAACGGAAATTTTGTGTCATAAATGGCCTCCATGGCCATTTAAATGCCTTAATTAAAATGCAAAACGCGCTTAACGTTTTCAAAGATCAAGTTCAATGATATTGTCGTCGATTATTTTTAATATTTTTTTCTGTTTTTTTTTTCTTCTTTTTTTACTACAAAAAAATGCAATAACAACAAGAAAAACGGAATAAGTTTTATAAATGCTGACAATAGTGTTGACGACGAGTGGTGCTGATGATGATGGCGGGTGTTGGTGGCCGGCAACTTGAGTGGTGATGGTGGTGGCGTTGGTGCTTTGGCTTGCTGAATGGCTGGCTGGCATTTAATAATAACCAAAACACGAGGAGGAAAAATCATTTAACAAAAAATACAAAAAAAATCGACAAAAACAAAACACAAACGAACGAAAAAAAATATTCGCAAAAAAATACAAAATAAAAACATTTAAAATAAACGATGACTGAATAGAAAATCGCACTGACACGACGCTGCACTGCAATGGATTGGATGGGATGGACGGATGGATAATGGTGCAGACAAATTGACGATATATTTGTGTGTACACAACTACATATATATCATACATCTAAACAACAAATTTCCCTCCCCATTAGGAGTAGAAGAATATTTTGTGATGAAAGGCGTACTCTTGGATTATTATTTGAAAAAAGTGAAAATAAATAAATTCGAAATCTAACAAACAAGAATTCATAAAATATCGACTAAAATATTTTCAAATTATAAAAGAAACATAAATATAGAGAGAGTGAAAGAAATTATGGTAATAAATTAAAATAATTATAGATGTTTATAAATTTTAAAAATTATAAATAAATAAAAGAAAAGTAAAATAAGCAAACAAAAAATGTAAAACAAATAAACAAAGAATAATATATATTTTCAAATATACACACAGTTGAATTTTGATTATGTGGATTGGGTTTTGAATTATTAACAGAAATATTACTACGATTTTGTAGATGTAGAAATTTCCTATTTCAAATCGGGATCGAGTAAAAAAAGGAAAAAATGCTAAAAGGTATGAAAGGACCATTACCAGACAATTTTTTCAAATTCTTAATTCTTTTCCATATATTTTTTACGTGGACTTTATGATTAATAATAAAATTACAAAAATGCGGCTGCAATTCTCAAAATACTTAAAACTGGGCGAGAACATTTTATAGTGTCTATGTCAAAACATGGTCAAAACTCCAAAAATTAGGCGATATCTTTATATGGGGGATATGTCATAAAATGGACCTAATATTATCATTTTCTGCGCAGATGCATATTGATGCATATTTTTATGGTTCCCAAGAGGAGTGGATTTTTTAAAGAGATTTTTTCAAGGTTCAAGAGTCGAGTCGATTTTTCAAAGAATATTTGTTTAAGATAATTTGTTCTTCAAGTGGCTTCCATATGTTAAAATATATTTTTTCTTGGTGCCCAAAAGGGCATTGTGTTTTAAATAATATTTTTAGAGGATATTTGTTCAAGTTCTCCCAGAAGAATATTATTAATGGTCCCCAAGAGAAATGGATTTTCTGAAGAATATTTTTTAAAGGTTCCGATTTTAAAGGCGTATATTTTTTAAAGAACATTTTTTTCAAGGCTCCCGAGTGGAGTGAATCTTTAGAAAATATTTTTAAATGTCTACAAGAGGCGTATCTCGAAGAGGCGAGGAGTGGATTTTTTTAAAGAATATTTTTTCATGGCCTATAAGAGGCGTACATTTTTAAAGAATATTTGTGGAAGGTCTATAAGAGGCGTGGATTTTTTTAAGAATATTTGTGGAAGCCCTATAAGAGGCGTGGATTTTAAAAGACTATTTTTTATGGCCTATATGATACGTGGATTTTTAAAGAATATTTGTTGAATGCGTGGATTTTAAAAGACTATTTTATGGCCTATATGATACGTGGATTTTTAAAGAATATTTGTTGAAGGCGTGGATTTTAAAATCATTTTTTCAAGGCCTATAGAAGCGTGGGTTTTCTAAGAATAATTGTTCATAGTCGCCAAGAGGCGTGGATTTTTTAAGGAATATTTTATAAGGCCTATAAGTGGCGTTGATATTTAAAGAATATTTTTATGGCCTATAAGAGGCGTGGATTTTAAAATAATAATTTTCAAGGTATATCATATTTTTTTCTTGGTCCAATAGAGGCGCATATTTTAAAGTTTTTTATTTCTAGGTCCATAAGACGAAGTGATTTTTAAAGATATCTTTTCTACGTCCATAAGAGGCGTAGATGTTTGAAGATATTTTTTTCGGGTTTCTAAGATGTGAAGACTATTAAGGAATATTATTTCATGGCCCCCAAGAGGCGCAAATGTTTAAAGATATTTTCGCTAAGTGTATAAAAGGCGCAGACTTTTATAGACATTTCTTTCTAGGTCCATAACATGCGCAAATTTTTAAAGATATTTTTAAGGTCTATGTCCATAAGAGGATTTTTTAAAATATATTTCCATAAGAGAATTTTTAAAAATGGTTTTTTCTATGTCTAAAAGGGGTCTAAATTTGAAAAGATCTTTTTTATTGTCCATAAGAGGCGCTGATTTTTAAAAATATTTGTTTCTAGGTCCAGCAAAATCACATATTTTTTACGATATTTTACTTTATCTTCTAACTCTGACCTCTTTTAAAGGATATATACTAAGTTCCATAAGAACAATTTTCAATGTACTGCTCATAGTCAAAATATAAACCCGAACTAATAATAATTTAAAAACTGTTCACCCTGAAGTGTATGAGTATGGTGATAAAAATAATTATGCAAAAAAAGTTTAGTTATGATACTTCCGATCTCAGTCCAAAGATCTTTTATGGCAAATATGGTCAGTTTTATGTATATACAGAAAGCCTAAGAACTCTTGTCTAAGTACTGATTCGCAGGATACTATATTCGATCTGAGCTCAAGATACTCATAATTTTAAATTCTAAACTTTTCGACCTGAAAAGTATGCCCAAAAAATGTATTTAGTTCTGAGTACCTTCGGGTTCAGTCCAATGTTTTTTTATGGCCACTATGGCCAGTCTAATATCCATAGAGAAAGCCTTAGGAACTGATACCTATTACGTATTGACTTGAGGGCTACTATAATCACAATTCACACAATTTAAATAATTAAAAAAAATCATACAATCTACAAAATCAAATCAATCTTAAATCCACATAATTCCAATTCAACTGGTACCACATAAAAAATTAATAATGAAATAAAGAATAAAAACAAAATCAAAATTAAAATAAAAAACATACCCCAAAAACAATTGTGTATGATCCGCCGGGGCCTGTTGATGATGGTGTACATTAAGGGTCTGAGGACGCATATTGGACGCCATTGAGGCTACGACCAAAGCTGATGTTGAACTGCTGCGAAATGTGCGTATACTGCAGAATGAATGTGGATCCATTAGAGAGGATGATGGACTATGTTTTATGCCATTTGGACTTAAGCAGGGTGGCGATGACGGTGATGACGATGTGGGTATTTTTGTTGTTGAGGTGGTGTTGCTGGCGACGATGCAACCATTGCCGCCAACAAATGTTGTACTGCCACGACTAAAGGCCTTATTGAATTTTCGGGCACCATTTAATAGTTTGTGTTTGGCGGAAGGTGAACTGTTGCCGATGTTGTTACCGGCATTTGTGGCGGCACTATTCAAAGTGGCTGCCGCTGCCGTAGTGGTTGTTGTTTTTGCTCGTAGGCCCATTGTGTAGAGGATTTTTTTGCGAAACTTTTCAAATTTGTTTTTTTTTTTAATTTGTATCCAGCTGTTTGTTATTTGATTTTTATTAAGTCACAGTTTTTTTTCTTTTACGTTTTTCTGTTTTGTTTTTGTTTTATTTGAGTTTGACGGTATTCATTGTGACGTCCAGTTTTATTGTATGGCTCATAACCGTTTTACACGCTTCACTTGTTTGTTTTTTCTGTGTATGGTGGAGGGGAGCAAGAGCATTTCTCTTTATCTTTAATAAATATAATGTTTTAATTGTTTAAAGAAAAAAATAACAACAAAAAAATTTTTATTTAATATGAACTTTTTTGCAACTTTTGCTACTGGCTAGGCGTGCTAGTTTTGATAGTGTGCTGGATGTTGGGATGGGAAAACTGACAATCACCCAGGCGAAGAAAGCCACAATATTTATCACACTGAGAGATATTTGTTAATGTTTATAAGAAAAAAATATTTAACAATAACAACAATAGCCATTCAAATTGTCAAAAAAAGCGCGCACACAATAACTCACACAAACAACAATAACAATAGAGCATTTAATATAATAATGAAAATATAAATAAATTTTCAATTCAATTGCTTTGCTTTCTTTTCACAAATTTTTGTGGAGGTTGGGATGGATGGCTGGCTGGCTGATTTGGTGGGTGTCCAGCATTAACGAGGGCAGCACATCTCTCTTCATTCTCTAATTACACTTTTTTAGTCAAAGATACACAAACTTTCTATAATTTTTTTTTCTATCTGTCTGTCTACCTCCAAAGAAAACATTCACTCGATTTTCTTTACGCGTCCAAATATTTTTTTTTTCGCTTTGGTTTGGCGGTGGTGAAGCGCTTCGAATATTACCAACCAACAACGTTCGCGGCGTTATGTATCGTTTGATTGCTGCTTGGTTTTATTTCTTGGATTTAATTTTAGAAATGATTTTAGCAAAGCTGTTATAGAGCGTACGAACGAACGAGCGGAGAGCAGGCAGTCAGGGGCAGCTGACAGAGAAACGCGTTCGAACCGTAGTCGTCAACAACAACAGCGTCTATACGAACAAACGAACGAATCAACACAACAAAAATTGTTTGGTGTTGCTTTGCTTTTGTTGGATATTTTGTTTGTGGTCTCTTGTCGTCTTTAGTATTTTTCTCTAGTTAAGATCACAACCTCGCGAGAGTGCAAAACAAGACAAAATAATAAAAAAAACAAAATAACGTTAAATTAAAAACAATCTTTTTTAGAATACAGCGTTATGTGGCCGTTGTCGCCGAAGGCAAACATACGAATGTTGTGTTCGTCGTCGTTCGTAAAATTTTGCCATGAATGAAGAATGCAATACAAACAAACCAACAAATGTACCATCGTCGTAGTAGTCATTCGTATTCGTTGCTGTCGTCGTCCCATTGAAATAAATAAAAAAATGACAACATTCGGCAGCATGTGAAACTCACACGCTCTCTCTCTCACACACACACACATAAATTTGCCTTGAAGAGCCGACAAGATACTATGAGCTGTATCTCAAAGATACACAGACATGTGGGTGAGAGCAATGGGAGAATTAGAGAGCCTAAATAACAAGAGGAAATCAAATGTGATCACAACACTCTTAGGATTGTTTTTTAGAGTGGAATTTGTTAAAGAGAGCGTTAAAGTATTTTGAAGAGAAATATGAAATTAAAGCAGATATATATATATTGGAGATATAGCTAAATCTTAACCGATTAATACGAAACTTAGCACACATCATTCTAGACTCAATTCAGAGCGCCATGCCAAATTTCGTTCAAATCGAAAGAAAGTAACAAAAATGCGACCCCAAATATGCGACCTATACTTTTCATTTAACATGGACGGATATTCATAAATCGACACAGATATTGATTCTATGCATATTCTCAAAAGGAACCATGTGTCTATCTTGTTTCCTTTCGTCTGTTACAAACATATGTACAAAGACATAATACCCTGCAGCACAATGTGGTGAAAAAAGGGGGTTATATGGGGACTACCCCCATTTGGGAAGGAGATTTGTTACCGGATTGAAAAACTCAAAATACTGAAAATTTTGGGGGTAACGTTATATGGGGGCTACCAGAAAAAGTGGATGCATCTTTATAATTTTTACTGGAGAGATTTGATACCCAATAATAACGCAAAGTGCCAAATAATAGCGAAATAGGTCGGAAAATTTTTAGTGGAGGAACTTGGTACCCAATAAGAACCCAATGTTCCAAATTTCAGCGAATTCGGTTGAAAAAGGCGCTAATAACTCTAATATACCGAAAAATTGGGACACCGTTATATGGGGGCTACCAGAAAAAGTGGACCGATGTTTATAATTTTTAGTGGAGAAATTGGTACCCAATAAGAACCCAATGTAAAAAATTTCAGCGAAAATAGTTGAAAAGGGGCTATGCCTAAACGTGGACCGATATAGCCCATCTTCGAACTTGAAATACCTGCAGTCGTTTAGAAGCTAGAGTGATTACAACAGGCAGGCGGACATGTTTAAATCGCCATAGAATTTTGCTCTGATCAAGAATATATACACTTTATAGGGTCGGAAATGATTATTTCGATGAGTTACTATGGTGGTGGGTATAAAAACTTGGGATAATCTGTTGAAAGACCATGTTCCGAGATGTTGTCTTTACATCGAATTCGTGGCCTTCCCCTTCTTCGCGAACCATCAGTTGACCTTTAATTTTGCAAACATGGCTGCGGATTGGGCTGCCAAATCTACTTAGAGGGCAATAAAAATCAGAGCGAACACGTGAAATAAGCTTTATAATTCAGGACTTAAAAGAATCTCGACATGTTTAGACAATTGCGTCGATATACGACCGTTTTTCCAATGATTTGTACAGCTCATAAGGAATATAATCTGAGCAATTTGGTGGGGTGATTTCCTCTCACCAAACCTAAGAAGGTCCATGAAATTTTAAACTCACCCTCTTCGAAAGACCCATACATACGTCTTTCGTATATATTTTAGCTGGTGCTTTATTTCCAAGTCAAAGACTCATATCTGCACATGAGAGCAATAGAAATCCTCATGAAAGTTGATGTAAAAAAAAGGACCTAAAAAATCTAGACAAGTTCTGTCAATGGTGACAGAATTTATTATCCCTCATTGGAAGTGCTTGTTTTTTTTTGGCTCTTTGTAAGAACAAAGCCCAACAACTAAGGAGATCTATGAAAAATCAGGATATACAAACTTTGCCTTGTGTTATTTTATTCCCAAACCTGTGGAGGTCCATGAAAAAAGTACATATCTGCAAATTGTAGTAAGGTGCATAGTGATTTTTAATTCTATGTACAGTGTAATGATTAACAAAATTGCTGATTATTTGAGGGGTAGGTATCAGAAGAAATCGGACAATAGGTTCCATTTTTGAACCTGGGGTTGTTTTTGAAATATTGCGATATGCAGGATTTCGATAAAATTTAAATACGTCACGTTGATTTTTTTTTAAAAGATGTCCTTTTATGTGGATCCACAAAAAAGCGTGAACCAATCTTTGTAATAATTCAAATTTTGTTAGAAGTACAGTAGCGTATATTATAATATAAATTTTTATATTGACCTTACAATTTGGATATTCTTAGAAACAAACGATTTTTTAATTTTTGGTTTCATTCATAACATATTGACGACGACCTAGAGTTTCAAAAATTACCACTTTATTCTCGTCTGGCAATAAAATGTTACGCCACTTATACACTGGTCAATCTAGAAGATCTTTTGCAAGTTTTAATTTAAATTCTTTTTTGATGCTATATATTTCATTAAAGTTCGGCAATGTGTATTCTTGAACGGTTCGATATATTTTGGACCGCTCCACAATATAAAGTAAGTCCCTTCTTTAGTTCCGTAATTCCTTTTAGTTCAGTTCAGTTTTTATACTACTCTACTGTATTACAATGTGCCAAGTTAGGACTCTCTATGAGGCCTAAATACTTGGAACTTCACATAGGTTTCGTACTAGACTCAGGCTTTGTATAGACTACCACCTATAACTTGGAAATTCACCTACGCTTCGAAGGAATATTATGATGTGCCAGTTTTTGACCAAATTTCCTACTCCCTTCAAAAGTCTGGAATAAATTTGGTTTATATACACCTTCACTAGCTTCAAGGCTCAGGGTAAAAGATTCTTGTTTTAAAATATATACCTGTTTAAAAATCTACCATAAGCGTTTTGATTTGAAGCTATTACGAAATGTGGTGAAATTTTACAACTAACAAGATTTTTAGGACCATTTTTGTTGAACCGTTTTAATGGAAAAATCAGTGCTATTTTTCTGGTTAACTCCACATAAATTACACGAATTGCCCAACAAATGTGAGTCAACTAAGATAACGCCTACATTTTATCTTACAACGAAGCGAGTGCCCAATAAGGAACAACAATTGGTGTAAACAGTAGTATCGAATCAAATAGTCATTATCTGAGATTTGTTTTTACTTCGCAGAAATGAGATATACGCAATAATTTAATTAAATGTAATCTGACGAAACATGAAAATGATTTACAATAGATTTTTCAGGTGAATCGTTTGTGACAAAATACATTATAGCTTTCGAGCGGGTTAAACGTTTTTAATTATTTTTTATATGGACCTAATTTAGGTGTTCCCTAAACCTGTAGGCCTATTCTGTAACTTTTAACAACATTCGATATTGTTTTATTTTCTTTTGTTATTGTAAAAACAAACAAATGAAATTGTTGTAAAATAAACAATGTCGAATGTTGTTAAAAAGTTACAGAATAGGCCTACTGATGTATACCAAAGGAAAAACAAGGTGTTTGCTGATTTCTACAAGTCACCGTGATGGTCCCATATAATCTAGTGCTACAGAATATTGCAGAGGGATTGGGGATCGTCTTTAAAGTTAGGGGAAATTATATGACAGGAACACAATAAAGTATCTAACTTCGCCTTCTTGGTACCCAACACAAGTTTCGATTTAATGTTGG